CGTGAAATTTTATACACATGTACTTCTATTCGTCCTTGATCCAAAAATACCATTTTGGATCCCTGGAACATCATACATAATAAGTTATCATATTTTAATCATCCAAACATACATAACATGCTCTTCAACTATGTTTTATGTATAAACATGGAATAAGCAAATACTTGATTGTCTTTAATCATTACATGAAACATATTCTTGATTACGTTAGGTAATCGCATGCCTCACGCAAAAGTTATAAGGCATATAGCCGTCTTCTCACCTTGTTGAAGCTTATGAAGTTCTAGCCTTTCCGATTTAGCCCCGGTGAAACTCCGGTGAACTTCAACGAACTCCGGCGACCCTTTCAACTCCGTGAAAGTTCTCCAAATACCTTATACAAGTTAATAACAAGGTTTTATCATCATAAAACCCATATCAACACAAATAACCTTCAAGAGGTTATTTTCCGACGAACCCGTCAACTTTGTCCCCCAAGTTCATTTTGGATATGAACCAACCTTCCAATCCCTCATTCTTCACATATAACATGTATAGTGACCCTAGGAGTCTGGAACATGATTATATAATCATATGGGAGGATTAAAGAAAAAGGAATGGGATAAATGAAGTCATTACCTTGTTAATCCTCAAGTTTTCCTCCTCTTTCCTCTTCTCCTTCTCCTTCTTCTTCTTCTTCTTCCTTAAGCTTGGTTCGAATGGAAATGGAGGAAATGAATATTTGAAGAGCTTCTCTCTCAAAATTGATTGGGTTGGTCGAGCATGTGAGCTAAGGGGGAGAAGACATGGCTCTATTTTGGCTTGTACCCCAATGATAGCAAAAATAGGGCCCTACCTTGCCCATTTGATGCTAAAACACTCAAGTCAACATTTCTCACCCCCTTCCATCTCATCCAGCCGACCTAACCGGCCTCTCAGCCCATAAAATCGTGGGGTGGCCCCCACATATGTGGGAGGTCATCCCTTTGTGTCCCCGAGTGTATATTTGGTCCCGAAAGTTGTATTTTCCGGACTATTTTAACTATATTTCGTTTTATCGGGTAAAACGAAATATCTATCATTCCTCCAATTATTATTGGCTATAAGAATGAATATATATTCCCCAACTTTAATTTGATGGTCTCCATAATTTATTAGGGCTTTTTATCTGATGTTACTTCGGTACCGATAAATAAGCTTTATATGCCCAAATGGTTACTCACATGATTTCTATGACCCAAAAAGGATATCCACCATCACACACGTATTATCTTGGCCCAAACGAATATGATATGTGGTCCCGATTATATCGGGCAGCCCCCACTTCCAATGTGGGCCCCACATGAATTTTACTATTCACGTAAAAGAAATGATAAAAATTTACAATCACGTAAAAATGAGTTTATTCATTTCTCGGGGTTCAATACGTAATTTGATAAATTACAAATACTTGGGGGCGGTGTTACAGAGAGACCCTGCTATAGTGATGACCTGAATAGCATTGTAGGATCTGATGAAGGTGATGCAAAATCTGAAGACTTCAATGAAGAAACAGGAGCTACACATCCATAATTGTCCAAAGGTTTGAAATTTACTACACATACCTCCTTTAGAAATGCTCTTAAGGATTGGGCTGTCAAGGGTGGATTTGAATTTAAATTTGTGAAGAACAATAGATCTAAAATCACTGTGGTATGCAAAAACAAGGACATATTTTCTTTCAGAGTTCATGCTTCTAGAGTTCCTGAATGTGGTTCCTTTCAGATTAAGACATTTAGGCCAAAACATGAATGCCCTTTCAGTAATAGAAACAACTTAGTCAGTAGTACATATTTAGCTAAAAAGTACATGGATGAATTGAGGGAAAATCCAGAATGGGATGTAACTGCTATGCAAAAGGCAGTGCAAAGACAACTAAGGGTTGAGGTAAGTCTGGCAAAGTGTTATAGAGCTAGAAGAAAGGTAAAGGCAAAGATTCAAGGGGACATTAAAGAACAATATAGGAGGTTGAGGGATTATGCAGAAACTGTAGTGAAATACAATCCTGGGAGTGTAGTCAAAATAAAAACTGAAGCTAGTGATGAGAATGTAGAAGGTGCTACTGCAGAGGGTAGGGGTGTGCACAAACCGGTCCAGACCGCATTTTGGACCTGAACCAGACCGGAATGGACCGGACCGGAATGGACCGGTCCGGACCGGTCCGGAGTATACAGGTCCGGTCTCCGGTCCGTTGAAAATTGGGATTCCGGGTTCCGGTCCGGTCCGGGTCAAACCCGGAAAAAATCAGGTCCGGACCGGTAACCCGTTATTATTACTATCATATTATTTTATCCGTATAATCGTATTAGCCCAAGCCCAATAGGGTTAATTGTAAAGTTGTACCGGTTGGACTTTTCATATTCCGAGGTGGAGAACCTGAGTACTCGCATAGTCGCTGTCTTACCATCGGCCATCGCACCTCTTTCAAATTTCAAAAGGCTTTGTTGCAGACTTGCAGTTCGGCCATATCAAATTCTTCTCGAGCTTATACTATTCTACTAGTGTCATACTGTGAATCTGTGAGCATGTGACTCTGTGAGACCTCTCCCTGCTTTATAGTGTTCTACTGCTGTGGCTCGCCTCTTTTAGACTTCTGAGTTTGAACTTTCTGAGTATCAGAAGTCTCAAGTCCTTCATCAACCAGGTTCAATTCATTTATTTTATATTTTATTCGATTTTTCATTGTTATATAATATAACTATATTTTTATATGATTAATTCTTTTTTAAGGATTAATTTGGGGTTAGGGTTTTGCTGTAGCCTAATTTATGCATAATTTAAGAACATTAGCAGATGACCTTATTTCCCATAAACTAGTTTCAACTTTTCCTGATTGAACTTTAATTTTTTTAAAGTAAACTGCTATTTTAAAACATTCATGTCAAATGCTTATATTCACTCAATTACTCTACCTGGTAATTACTTATATGAGCAATTACTTATGTTTTAATCATGTAGAGTGTGAAACCGTAGGTAGAGCTATGTTACTATGCAGCATTGCCTATGTAATTACTTATGTGAAAATTTACTCTACGGCTCTACCTGCTTATAACTGTTATAAGTTATATTTATTCTACCTGCTAAAAATTGTAATCCATATTAAAAAAAAAGATTTAAAGCACTGCCTGGCTGCCTGCACATGGATTATGGACTGTCAAACCCATTTGAAAGTATCAATAAGTTCATAAATTCTAAAGCAATTCAAGTGACATATAATTAAAATGAATTCTTATTAATAAGTGGATATTAATAATTGTTTCTTTTTATTAATTCTGTCAGATGGATAGTTCCAAATCAAAAAGGCCGGCAGTGTATTCTTCAGAACAAAGTGCTTCTACGCTCAGTGATGCAGCTAGTAGAACTGATATTGAAGAGTTACGCAAAGTGTTGCCTCCTGAAAAGAAACTTGTGGAAGGCCGCAAATACTTAGTTAGGAAGAGTAAACGCAGAGCAGCATATTGGGAGAACTACCTCGAGTATTTGGAAGATAAATCACTGAGAGCTGAGTGTAAGTTCTGTGATAAAACCTTTGCTGCTGATGGAAATATAAATGGTTCCAAAAATGTGAAAAATCATTCAGAAAAGTGCCTAGGTAATCCTGCTAATAAAGAAAAAGGAAAAGGCAAACAAACTGAATTGGTTTTTCAATCTGGGGATAATGGAGAGGACTGTGATAGCAAATTGAAATATGGGAGTGTGAACTTAAAAGAGGTTAGAGAAGCATTAATTAAGATGACTATAATGGATGAGCTTTCTTTTAGACATGTAGAGAAAGCAGGTTTTAAGTATTTCATGTCTATTGCTTGCCCTCGATTTCACATTCCATCACGTACCACTATTGCTCGAGATTGTTATGCCCTTTATATGAGTGAAAAAACTAAGTTGAAAGAGTTGTTTAAGAATTCTTGTCAAAGAATATGTGTGACAACAGACACTTGGACTTCAATACAAAAGATTAATTATATGTGTCTGACTGCTCACTTTATTGACAACGATTGGAAGTTGCATAAAAAAATAATATACTTTTGTCCGATTTCTAGCCATAAAGGTGAGGCTATTGGTAAAGCTGTTGAGTCATGTTTAGAATTTTGGGGTATTGAGGACAAGCTTTTTACTGTTACTGTCGACAATGCTAGTTCTAATGATCTTGCTTGTGCTCACCTTAAAAGAATGGTCCAACGTACAGGCGCTATTAGTGATGGAAATTTTCTTCATATTAGATGCATTGCCCATATTATCAATCTTATTGTTTGGGATGGAATCAAAGAGCATCTTACTTCCATTGGTAGAGTTAGGCATGGTGTTAAGTTTGTTAAGAATTCTCCTGCTAGACTACAAAGGTTCAAAGATCTTGTTCAGAGAGATAATATAGAAAGCAAATCTTCTTTGTCCCTTGATGTTCCCATTCGATGGAACTCAACTTATATGATGCTAGACACAGCTTTGAAATTTCAGCGTGTTTTTAGCGGGTTTTCTTTACCGAATGGATTGAACATTCCGGATGATGAAAAGCCTCCAGAAACACAGGATTGGAAGAAAGTGCAAAGATTGGTAGTATTCTTGAAAGGTTTTTATCTCGTAACTCGTCGTATTTCTGGTTCTCTTTATGTGACTAGTAATAGAGGGTTTTTTGAAATTGCTGCCATTTGTGATATGTTGAACAAGTGGGTGAAAAGTGTAGATGAAGATTTCTCTACTATGGCTAAAGCCATGAAAGAAAAATATGACAAATATTGGGGTGATGTAGATAAAATGAATAAATTGATTTATGTTGCCGCAATTCTGGATCCTCATTCTAAGTTTTTAGTTGTTGAAATCACACTTACTGACATGTATGGAAATGACAAGGGTAAGAAAGTAGCCGACGATGTCAAGAAGTTTGCTTATACTTTATTTGAGGAGTATAGAAGAATGTACACACCTCAGGCTCATCAAACTGGCCAGAATAGTGAATTGATGTTGCTGGATGAATCGATAGAAGAGGATAATGTAGGGGGCGGAGGAGGTTCCATATACATGAAAAGTTTAAGGGATAGAGTAAAACGGTTGAAAGGATCAGGAGAGTTTGTAACGAGCGAATTTGATAGATATTTGAATGAACAACTAGGGGAGGAAGAAGACGACATGGATGCTTTATCTTGGTGGGCTATTAATGGACATCGTTTTCCTATTGTTTCACGCATGGCACGTGATATTCTAGCAATTCCGTTGTCTACTGTTGCTTCCGAATCTGCTTTTAGTGCAGGAGGTCGACACCTTGATCCTTTTAGGAGTTCTTTGACCCCAAAGGTAATTCATTTCTTTTTCTTTGTTGATTGTCAATTGATATAATTTATTTTATTATGAACTCATAAAATTTATGATAGGAATCTGCCTAGTTTTATCAATTTAATCCTTAATACTATTCTGTTGGAATTTAATTTTTTGTTATTGAAAGATGGTACAAGCCCTTGTGTGTGTGCAAGACTGGATTCGACTATTCGAGTAAGGGGCGCTTCAGGAGTTGATGTTGAGGAGAACTTAAAAGAGATGGAGGAACTTGAGAAAGGTTACTATCTCAATATATTATGTTTTATAATTTTACTTTTCAAATCTTCTAAGATTTTACTCTACTTTGATCTCCTATTGTTTTCCTATTCACAGATTTGCAAGAGAGTGGATTGGGTGACGATGTCGTATACGTGGAGACTTGAGAACATGCTGGGAGAATGAATCTATTTGCTCAACTTGGACTTTTATTTTATTCTCTTGTTAAACAGTAGCTTTTGGGCAGATTTTTGTTTTTGCTTTGCCATGGATCTATTTCCTCAATATGGAGTTTTATTTTAATTTGTTTGTTAAGCAGTAGCTTTTGGGCAGATCCTTGTTTTTGCTTTGCCATGAATTTTGGCAGATTGCCATGAGCCCATGACAATGCTGCTGTTTTAGCTAAAACTGGACTATCTTGACAGATTCTAGTTATGTTTGCTATTAACTAGTTAACTCTTTGGCCAAAATATTTTTACTACTTCATGGCTCCATATTGCATAATTGCATGTCTGCATTATACTTACAGTCTTACAGATAGCAAGCAGGCCCCATGGACATATTTGTAAATTTTTTGTACTTGTTGGGAGTTGTTGCCTTAGGAATAATTTAATCTTATCATTTAGTGACTAGTGTTTGAATTATACGAAGTATATGTTTAGGATGCACCGAAGGTTTGCAAATTGCAATACTAAGGAACAATGATAACACACACCTATGCCTGAAACTAAAGTGCTTTTGGAATACCGGTCCAATCAGGTCCAAAACCGGACCGACCCGGAATAAACAGGTCCGGACCGGTCTGGACCGGTTGCTTTCAGGTCCGGTCCTCGGTCCATCCAAAATTCAGATTCCGGTTCCGGTCCTAACCGGTTTCGGTCCGGTCCGGTCCGGTTTTGGACCGGTGCACACCCCTAGCAGAGGGTGGTCCAAGAATGCCCAAGGAAATTCTAATGCTTCAGTACATGTAAATGAGGTTTAGTGCACAGAAGCAGGGGTATTTTGCAGGTCTTAGACCCTTAATTGGGTTAGATGGCTGCCATTTGAAAACACCTATGGGAGGGCAACTACTATGTGCTGTAGCAAGGGATGGAAATGAAAACATGTTTCCTCTTGCTATAGCATATGTGGATAGTGAAGATAAAGCTTCATGGACTTGGTTCTTGCAAGTATTGTTTGAAGACTTTGGCAGGCCAGAGGAAACTAACTGGGTTTTCATGTCTGACAAACAAAAGGTAATAAAAAATACTTATCTCTTGTTTAAAATATGTGAACAACTTCTTTCTATATACTGTGTTTAATTGTTACCTTCTTTCAGGGTTTAGTTGAGGCATTCAAGGCTGTGTCACTTGCTAATGAACACAGATACTGCGTAAAGCACATGTATGAGAACTACAAGAAAATCTTTAGAGGGGCTGAGTACAAAAAGAAGCTTTGGTTTGCAGCTAGCACTGGAAGTCTGAGGTCATGGGAGAGGCAAATGGAAGGAATAAAGAAGTTTGATGAGGCTGCTTATAACTGGATTATGCAGTATGACCCAAGTACTTGGAGCAGATCTCATTTTTAAATTCAAGCACAGTCTGATGCTTTGCAGAATAACATATGTGAGTCATTCAATGCATACATACTTAGAGTTAGAGATATGCCTATTTTGAGCATGTTTGAGTGGATTAGAAGAAGGTTGATGGCTAGGTTTCATGTTAAGTACACTGCCATGAGTAAGTATAAGGGTAATATTTGTCCTAATAAGCAGGATCTACTAGAAAAATTGAAATTTGAAAGTAGGAATTGCTTTTGTACTCCTGTTGGGGACAACTTGTTTGAGGTTGATTTCTATGACACTAGCCATGTGGTTAATCTTAGAGACAAGACTTGTACATGTCGAAGGTGGGATTTGAATGGGATCCCTTGTAAGCATGGAGTGTCTGCTATATATGCCAATAGAGAGAAACCTGAAGACTATGTGAGTGTTTTTATGCTAAATCCACCTATTTGGCTGTGTATAAACACATAATCCATCCTCTACCAAGTAAAGATGAGTGGGAGAGAACAGATACTCCAGATATTGAGCCCCCAATTCCTAGAAAACCTGCAGGAAGACCCAAGAAAAAAAGGATTAAACAACCTGATGAAACAAGGAATCCCTATAAGGTGTCTAGGGCAGGTAAGCAGGTCATATGTGGCAATTGCAAGCAAGTGGGTCACAATGTTAGAGGGTGTAAGACATCCATAACTGGAGAAACACCATGGCAAAGGAGAAAGAGGTTAGGAAAACAATAATCTGCCAAAACAACCCTAGGTGGTGATGATGACACAGCTGACCCAACCTCTCATGACCTAGAGCAGACTGAGAATAATGAATCTTTTCATATGTCAACTCCCATTGCCCATGATCCAGTTTCTCAAAGGGATGAAGGAAGAACAAACAAGAAGAGAAGAATAAGCAGTTCACAACCACCTCAACCATCAGCCAGAAGAGTGACTAGGTCCTCAAGTTCACAGCCCTCAACGGTAGTTTTTTGTTCTTCATTTTCACTGTAACCTAATCTTTAATGTGTTTTCTTTACACTTACTGTGATCTTATTACTTGTTTCAGGATCTAGAGCACTAAGGATGGAGTGAAGGGAAAGAAGTAATCATGCAGTTGTAGTGTAGGCAGATGAAGATTAGTAGTTTAGAAGATATGCTATGTTTACAATTCACTTTTATGTACTTGTCAATCATGCTTTTTATGAGCATGTGTTTTGTAATGAAACTTATGTAACAAACATCTTTGGCATGTGTTTTGTTATGAAGTTGCTGTATGACATTGGCATCTAAGTTCTTTGGGGTCCAATGTTACTTCTTATGAAGTTCTTAAACCACTGGCATGTAATTTGTGTTGGGTGAAATCTATCTTTATTTTGTCCATTTCTCTCTCTTTTGGATAAGTAAACAGATTGGATCACTTTGTCCATTTTATTTTAACTTTGTAAGTATTTTGGTTCATTTGGGTATACATACGGTGCTATGGTGCAAGCTATCATTCTGGTTTTGGGTTTTAGGTGTATACATATGGATTGTGTGATACTTATTGTTATGGTTTTGGGTATATATATGTTGTTAATGGATGCTGTCAAACCAAATGTTAGGTAATTGTTCAAACGAAGTGTTATCAAACCAAGTGCTGTCAAACCATTTTTATAGGTATATATATATGGATGTTATCAAACGAAGTGTTCTGTTTTACAGGTCTTTTTTGTAAAACCAAATGGGCTGTATTTGTGAATGAATCCTTGTGAAACCAAATGCTTTAGCCATGTTGTATTAAGCTCTGTTTTTCACTATATGTGGATAAGATACTTCATACTTCATACATTAAAGAACTCCACACAAAGTTCATATATCAAGGATCAAGCATTGTTACATTTCATTACACATTACACAAAGGAAGCACACTAGAAATGAAAGTGAACACAATGACATCTGGTTCAGCCATTTCATCAAACACATTGACAACAACTTACACCTAAAGCCTTCTAATTACAAAGAAAATAAAAAATAACAGGGCCACACAAAGAAGCTTCCTCTTAAAAGTTAGATTATCATTCTTAGCCATCTTCAATTGCAGTTCCATGTTCTGCACCTTCAGAATACCAATTCCACGAACGCAGGTCTTCATTTCACCCTCCAGCTCCATCACTTTCACCCGGACATGTTCTTCAAGTCTTCCAACCTTCTGAAGAACCAAATCTAAGTTCTCCTGACAAGTACGGCATGTGTCCTCCTCAACCCACTCAAAAAATTTGAATTGTTGATCACGGCCACTAGAATAACGCCCACAACCATGAAATCTTTTCCCTCTATTCTTCTCTGTTGTCGCCATCCAAATCGGTGCTTGGATTCCACAATCAAACCTCTTCACTTGTTGTCTTCCATCCATGGCAGATGAGCTTGAATTTGAAGAACTCATCTTTCTTCTTCGTCACACCCTAAGCGCTTGTGGGAGGAGAGATGTATTCGGAGTGTTGTCGTAGGGTTTCAGATTGGGATTGACAGTACTTAATAACACGAATAATGACATGGTGCTTCAAGATTGGGATTGCAAGCCACGTAAGCAGATTTGTGGCAAATTATGTTCCACTTCAGCATTAAATAAACGGAGTCAAGACGGGGACCCCGCGGGTGGTAACGGTAGCAAAACACGAACGTGTGTTTGTTACAAAGTTTATCACAGACCCCTAATTGAAAACCCCCGCAACCACAGGTATCTAATCCGTACTTTTCCCTATTTTATATTAAGTCGGGTGGGCTAAATGTGAAAAATGAAAAAAATTACACTAAAAAATTGATTTTTTTAAGTTGCTCTGGGCTTCAGCCCATCATAGCTCGTACATAGATCCACCCCTGGTAATCAATTAAAACCTGATATTTTTGAATGTAGAAGATCTGTCATGTATTTATGTTATAAACATTTTTCAGAGAAACTACATAAACACAATTTTGTAGTCATTGATTTGTGGTTAAAGTGTTACATTATGACAATTTAAATTTTGAATTATTTAGGGAGTGTTTGCAACTACTTCTCCTTAAAAAAATATTTTTGGAGTGGTTTGGAAAAAGTGATTAGTAGTAAAAGTTGATAGTGTTTGAGAAAAAAATGATTTTGAAAAGTAAAAATTGGTAGTGTTTGGTAAAATAAGTGCTTTTTGTGTAATAAAAAAAGGAAAAACACTATTCACACGAAAGCTGAAAGAAGTAAAAATTGGTAGTGTTTGGTAAATAAGTGTTTTAAGCCAAAAGTTGAGAAGTGCTTTTCGTTAAACTGTTGCAAACCAACCCTTAATAATATGTAGTAATTGTATGATAATGTGTGTTGTCATTCTTTGTCTAGTGTTACAAAGTTTTATTAAATTTGCTCAAAATTCTGTTGCAAAGTGTCAGTAATAGTGGTATGATATGAGCTTATTCCTAAAATATTATTATGGATAACATTGAATCGCCTCTTTTTAGTATGAGTAAGTTTTTTATGGAGTAATGATAAGCACAATAATTACTTATGTTTTACATAAGTAATTACATTTATCTGTACAAAAATATGAAGCAAAAACAGATAAATATTCTCGAGTTAGCGGAAACATGAAATACGACATGGAGCAATGAAAATAGGGTCAAAAGTCAAAAGGGATCGAAAACCGGCACTTCGGGATCAATTTCGGGCATCAA